ATAATTGGCGACGTGTGTTGCGTCTGTATTATTTAAGAAAAGCATCTTGAATATTATATTATATTATATTATATTATATTATATTATATTATATTATATTATATTATATTATTTTATATTATATATTTATATATATTTAGGGGTACCACCACTGGTTTAATTAAAGGGACCCACATCCTCGAAGAAGAAAATAAATAGTGTTCAGAGAAGACCTTGTGGATTCTCACTGAATACTTTAATCTTTTCCTCTCCTACCACCCCTATTATTTTTTTTATTTTTTTTTATTTGAGTTTATATATATATATATATATATATATATATATATATATATATATATATATATATATATATATATATATATATATATATATATATATATATATATATATATATATATATATAATGATCCAAGATTTCCTTTATCATAGCTCATGGTAAGCCTTACTCACTAGTTTTGCCTGAAACATAACCTGCCAATTCACTAACAACCAGGTGCCCAATTACCATTGAGTGAACAAGAAGCACACAGTTAAGGACTGGTGCCTAATTAATCCTCCCAGGTCAGGACACGAATAAAGACAAGTCTCTTCCAAACCGTGGGACAAATGTGTTACCAATGCACCACCGGTGTCTGCATATTGAGTTACAGTATAAGCTATTGCCCCTTGTGTGAGTTACATTGAGCCTTTTTAAAAAGTGGTCTGGTTTAGCATTTTCTCACTTGTTCAGTATTGTAAAGGTCTCAATGAGATGTGCCTTCTTGTGTCTGGTTTGCTTGGCACATTCTTTTGATAATTACTTACTTGCTTGGGTTTGGTTTGTAGTGTTAATCCTGAGGATCTCAACTGCTCCAGGCATGAGTGTTCGCTTAATTCTGAGATGATCTTCATTGCTCTGCAAATGAACTTTCCAAAATTGGCATGTCCTGAAAAAAAAAGGTATTTCCATGCTTGGAAACAGTAATGCAGATTAGGGACATTAGATATTTGTACAGCTAAATAACCACTTTTCTTACAGTCAAACGTTTGTCAGACTATTTCTAAAGTTTGGTTCTTATTGTTCAGTAATTTAAAAATACTCAAGATAATAAAATTCTCTTTTGAATAAATAAAATTGGATCACTAACTGTCAGACATTTATTGTTAACATAAATAAATTACATAAAACATTTTACAAATATACACTTATATACACACACAGGGACTGTTAGCTACAGCACAATTAGAGATGCACAAGTAATTATGTACAAGAGCGCCACTACCCTGATTGAATCAGACCTGTACTTCAATATATTATCTGCAAATGGGCCGAGAGGTTGCATTCATTACCTGATGATTATTAGATCACTTTCAGTTCCTTTCAGATAGTCATCACTGTGTCCTAGTATAAATGAGTTTCCCAAATGGGCTTTGTCATCTGAAAGATGACAATCATAATTGTAATAATACAGAATTTGGATTTATGGACCAGACTCACAGTTTCATAAACCATTTATCTTTTCCATCGGCAAAATTTAAAAAATGGCATCAGTTTCATAAAAATTCACACCATAACCCCCAAGTTAAGCCAAAATTATTGAGAGGAATGCATAAAATAATGGGTAGGGGAGTTCAAAACAATTGTGAGAATTAGGTTGTGCGAGTGAAGGTTGTGTAATAGGCTGCTAAAGAGGGAATTGGGACATGAGTGAAGAAAGTGAAAGGTGTGGACCTAATGTGTATCTGGAGAGGTGAGAGAGGCATGGACCCTCTGGGGAATCATCATCCACCGAGGAGAAACAAAAGTCAACACCACATTAGTACCGACAGCATTAACAAGAAGGCAAGTCAACATTAGCACCACCTATATCTTCTCAAACACCCGTCCAGTTGCCCCATCGAAGCCACAATACTGTTTAAAACATGTCTACCAGGTTATACAGAGACATGTGCAAAGTCTGGATACAGTAGTTATGATTGGACACGTTCCAAGTCCAGGACACGTGCTGGTTATTCCAGGGTGTATACTTTATACTATAGTAAAGACATGCATCTTTACTTTACCCACCCTACTTGACTGCCATAATTTCCTCTTGGTTAAATTTATTCCCTGATTTGTCTATAGTATCTATGTTGGTACTGTATTTAGGTGTATACAGTACTGTACATAGAGAAGGAGATTCGGGAATTGTATAACGGTATTTTGGCTGCAATAAATAATATCACCAGTGCATTAGTTTGATAAAATTTTAAATAAGCTAATTTTGCCTACTTTGCATATATCTGCAAGAGTTTTACATAAAGTAATTAGTTTACAAATATACAAAGAAATATGGAAGAAATGTATCTCCCTATCTCACTTTATCTGTGATAATGGCTCTTGACCTATGTAGAATGGGTTAGGTTATAAGCACTTTCTAGCCCCTGTTGAAACTTGACATTGGTTAGAGGGGGGGGGGCCTAGTCTATATATAAAAAAAAAAGATTTTTCACTTTTAAATATTGCCTTGTTATTCAAAATCACTATTATATACATATACAGTATGTATGTATGTATGTATGTATGTATGTATGTGTATATGTCAGCCCATCCTCCTGTTTTGGCAGTACAGTACTTATAGTAACGATGAGGACCATAGTGAATATACTGACGTACAACGAAATTAGAAAGTAGAAATCTGAACTATTGAGTTGGACAAACTGGAAAAACTGTTTTTTACTTGTGCTGCTTTGACAAAATAAACAAACCTAACCTAACATTTCTAGGCTTAATACACAATATTTGAGGCCTAATATAGTACATATGTGAGTGGTGTACTAGGCCTAGGAATATTTAAGTTTGCTTTTTAGCTTCATTTATTTTAATTGAATTAATTCCTTACTAGTCAGTTTACTGTACTACTATCTACAAGCTAAGTACTGTATGTACGAATTTGTGACTATTGACGATCATCACAATAGGTACTATCTAAACAGGAAGATGGGGTGTGTGCGTGTGCGTATATTTATATATATATATATATATATATATATATATATATATATATATATATATATATATATATATATATATATATATATATATATATATATATATATATATATATATATATATATATATGTCGTACCTAGTAGCCAGAACGCACTTCTCAGCCTACTATGCAAGGCCCGATTTGCCTAATAAGCCAAGTTTTCATGAATTAATTGTTTTTTGACTACCTAACCTACCTAACCTAACCTAACTTTTTCGGCTACCTAATCTAACCTAACCTATAAAGATAGGTTAGGTTAGGTTAGGGAGGGTTGGTTAGGTTCGGTCATATATCTACGTTAATTTTAACTCCAATAAATAAAAATTGACCTCATACATAATGAAATGGGCAGATTTATCATTTCATAAGAAAAAAATTATAGAAAATATATTAATTCAGGAAAACTTGGCTTATTAGGCAAATCGGGCCTTGCATAGTAGGCTGAGAAGTGCGTTCTGGCTACTAGGTACGACATATATATATATATATATATATATATATATATATATATATATATATATATATATATATATATATATATATATATATATATATATATATATATATATATATATATATAATTTACCCAGATGTGCATAAGAACTACATAAATCACAACAAAAACAGTACCAGGATACTTAACCTTAAGGTGGCTCACCATTATTTTCAGTCTGCACCAAGACACAGTAAGGTCCAGTATAACATTATACCTTGTGAATGATTTATTGTAACAATCTGGTGACTGGTAATGTAATTAGGAATAACAATGCTGTCGTCCCCATGGGAAGCCACATACATCTTCGCATCTTCATATTTGTCTATAAAAATCTATATAAAAAGTTTTAGCCCAGTTAAGACAGACATGATCTAACGTTTTAGTGTGTTACATATTCGGCAGCTTTACTTAAAAAGTTCCATAAAGATTTATGTACCAAGACAGCAGTAAAAATCACACACACACACACATGTCAACATTAAACTGACTACAGTATATAGATACTGCATTTATATATTTTGTGCAAAAATTCATCATGCTCTATACATATAATTACTGCTTAAGGCACATTAGACCTTCATACAGTCACTAGGCTCAGAAGCTAATCCAAGAGTGTTGGGTGGGAATGATTTTATCAGCAGCCATGGAATACTGATAATATAACTAACACTGTTTTACTTATCACCATCTGCACTAGTGGTATGTAGTGCTTTTTTCCCTACACACACAACGGAAACAAATTAAGTGGCACTGCGAATAGGATGCAACCACCTCCCAAAACCCCGACGAGCATTCACAGCTCTCTCCTGGATCTGCCCCAAAGTAATTCATTATTTTCAAAACATTATTTATAATCATGGAAATGTAGCTATTTAAGCTAAAGTGTTATAGTAAATGTTGAGTGCAATAAATTGAATTAGTGTTTATAGTGAATAAGAAAACACCCATGTGCAGATGATGAGTCACAATAACGTGGCTGAAGATATGATGACCAAACCACCTTATCAGAAAATGGAGAAACGACGGTATTTCAGTTCGTCCTGGACTATTATCAAATCGTGACAGTGAACTGAACCATCCTGGGTCATTATCAAAACAGGACTTGATAATGGTCCAGGATGGACCAAAACATTGTTTCTCCATTATATGATGTGCAGTTTGATCATCAAGAAAAAAACCATCTTTGGTAGTAACATAACATCCATACAGTGGCAAAAGAAATTATAAAAGAAACCTTCTTTGTTATCAAAGAAGATAATAATGTTACTATTTTGTTTTAGTTTTCACATACTATATTTTGACCAATATAATATTAGAAAACAACGTTATTCAGTGGCAAAACACCAGAAATATATTGGACTGGCATGTGATGGTTATCGAAACAAACACTTGACCAGATATGCATTAAGTATGAGATTCCTTAACTTCACAGTTATGTGAACAAATGTCACAGAAAATCAGACAATCTTAAAACGAGTCGGAGATGATTATGGTATACGAGTATCTTTTATTTTAATCTCGAATGATATCACATGTGTGTTAATCTCAAAGGGTATCACAAATATGTTAATCTAAGTTAATGATTTGTCATACATACTTCAGTTTGGCACTTCCCCATCAGAGATGAAATGAGATCTAAACTCCAAAATGACATCTGTGAAGGTAGCCATGAAATAGGAAGTTATCTGAAATATCAGAATGATAGTTCTTGCATAATACCTAAGGCCTGTACAGTATTTCCCATACAATAAAGTGAGGATTGAGATTAAATTCTCGTTTACGTCACGTGTTATGCACCATGTAGTAAAAACAACAAAGTTTTCTTTGTGATGCAAAAAGGTACTATTTAAATATGATCATATTTCATTATCTTCATATCATCAATCAAATTCCACACCTTGCATAGATATGATCATACCATATATTACTTAAATGTTCAGTAATGTAATTATCCCTTTTATTACAAACAACAAAAAGCATGGTGTAAATCTGCTATGAAATATAAAACTTTGCAAGTTCAAAAAATATTTCTAGTCAATTTCCCATTTTTCTCTAAACATAAAATTAAATAAATCATAAGGCTTCGTCTCCAGGATAATATGGACGTGTGAAGGGACTGTAGTTGTGGCCATTGACCCCATTGTGCTTGCTGCGGTCACCTGGAGGGTTGAGTGGTTGCGAGTCCTCTGAATGCCCGCGCCGCTGCTCTGGTCTGTGTCTCTTGAAGTAGCCACACTGTGAGGAAGGGCCCAGAGCTTGGCTTAATAAAATAAAAATATGAAAGCGCAAAGAAAAAAGGATGTTGTTTGTTGTTTTAGATTTAGCTATTCAGAACAAAATGTCCATGTAGCACGGGCTATAGTGAGCCCGTAAGAAAAAAGGAATATGAAGCAATGTATAGTACTATAATGTAATAAATGTTCAACAAGATTCACATGTGACAAACATAATATTGGACCACGAAAAAGATAAATGCTGCTCTACCTCACACCACATCACTTGCAAGCAAGAAATATAATAATATAAAAAATAACAGTACAAAAAACATTTAAAAAATAAAAAATTGAAATAATTTTGCCATACTCTACTACTAAGCATAAAATAAATTGCAAGCAAAAACTTGCAAGATATGCAACTCATCACACACATGCATCAACCAACGTACTGTGAAGTGAGCAACAGAAGAATAAGACGTTTGATATGTAAAAAATTAATCGGAGGCACACTGTGGCCGCCTTCGCTTGAAGAAACCAAGCTGGAAGGGAGGGGATAAGATGGTGAAGTATAACATATGTACTTGTCTTCCTACCATTGTACAATGCATCCTAATTTGCAAAAACTTTAAAATAAACATATTTACACTATATTTACATCAATATATGCCACCTATTTTGCTATCTTTAACTGCACATCATGATTACAAACTTGAACTTGTATTTGACATAATGCAAAACACATCAGTAATGTACTTAGTAGTGAACATATTACAGTACATTATTAGCAACTAAAATATATTACATCATAGCCCATTCACTTAAAAATGGACATCTATCTTGCACTTCCAACAAAAGATAGAAGCAAATGGAAATATATTTGTTCTATAAAGAAACAATGAGTATGGCATATAACTAACCTTCCACAGGATGAGGATGATAATGAGGAGGATAAGGATTCCAGCAAGGGTGGCCAGGACAATGACCCACCATGGCACCTGCGGAGCCTCATCCAGAGATTTGGCTGGAGATACGGGTGTTGTCACATCCAGATCTCGTATCTACAAGACATAATTTAATCTCGCATTAATGATTAGGCTTCAGCTACTGCATTTCCCTACAGCGACTGACATTTATGCTACTGGAAGTGATTTATAATCGTTTCTATCTTAAATTCAATCATTCAACTGGTAAAAAAAGTTGGGTATTATAAGGCGTATTTTACTACCAGAAAACATAACTAGGGATAATAAATAATTAATGATTATAAAAACTTTTCCTTTAAAGGAATTGCATGCTTATGATTTTCTTTGTTGAAATTTGTTCCCCTTTTACATATAAAATATGTGCTTATCTCATCCCATTGTGTTAATGATACATCCAATGGCAAAATGACAAGCAATACTCACGGTAAGGTATGTGGGACTGACTCCATGGGGCAGGGACACAACTCTGGCAACCATCCTGCTGGTGATGCTTAAGTCCTCATAGGGGTACTATAAGAAGTAGTCCTCAGCAGAATGTGGAGGATCAGGTGGTAATTTGAAATGTTGAGGATGATGGGGACGTGTAGAACCCAGATGGAGATAGTCGTAGGTGATTCCAAAGGTGTTGCAGATAATCCCAGCAGAGGATAACCGATGGCGATAATCAGCGAACATTGATGACCCAATTGTAAGGTTGCAGAGAATAAAGGGACTGTGTTAGTGTGTTAAGACCCCCAACCACTGAATGGAAGCTGCGTCCATCACTCGGGCAAAGAAAATCACAAGAATAAATGTATATTGTATCAGTAAATAAGATTACAGCCATGATGAGAAAGGTGACTTATCTACTTGCATTGCTGAATATTATAGCCATCACTAACTAACTGGTGTCATACTGTATAATAATTATGCATACTGTAAACCTTTATGACAGTCTAGGAGAAGATATTGTACAATAGTTCCAAAGATTTACATGGCCCAGGGAGATTCTAGGGTTGACTAATAAACCATAACAGTGCACAAGACCGCTTACACATAAAAGCAGATGCTGTACAGTAATTACAAGTTGCAATAACACTGCTACAGTACACTATATAGCTAAAGGGAAATTTCTGATAACATAAGCTTGTACAGAAAATTACAACACTGATAAAACAGTTTAGGACTTGTTAAATGCTGCACTATAGAGAAACATTTAATAAATTTGCACCAGTTTATTCTCGCTAGCTCCAGTATTCAGCAGACGATGGGCAACCTGACAGGATCACTTCTTAGTAGCGAGAGACTTTCAGGTTACAGGTAAGATTTTAGTTTGAAGGTCTATCGACTGAGAGGATTATTATGGGTGTATCTACTTTAATATTAATGCACGCAAATATATTTCAATTTGGAACTAAATTATGAATTAATGTAAACTCAATGTACAGTATAAAGCCCGCAGACCTAACTATGTCCTACACTCAATGTGGTGGAAAATTATACAATTCCTACAGTGTAAGACTGCATTTAAACACACACACAACTCTAGTTGTGATTGTTTTCTTCCCTAAAACATGGACCTCCATTAGATGATAGGTTTTATCCCATGGGTATTGAGTTCCCTTCTTGAGATGTAGATTTCCTCTGATAAGAGAATTATGGGCAATTAGCCATTATGCCTAGAGCACTCCCTGGGTCTTAAAGATCTTCAGTAATAAAATCATGATTTTAAGATGTAGTTTTCACTCTTCAGATATATTCATAATCATATATAATCACTTATAAAATATTTTTTCTAAGATTCTAGGATTATCTTTTGCTGTTAAGTGTGATAGTGTATTAAAACATGCACCCACTTGGAAAACAATGAGAGGAACCATAGAATTCTACTGAATCACTCGCTGCTTCAATTTTCTTTACCTTTGAAAAAAAATTAAAACATGCATCCATTATTCTTTACAGATCTCCGTATTAAATGGATCCTAAAAACTATACAAAGGGTAAATAACTAATGTCAATAACTTAACTACTGGCTACAAAACCGACAGGTAAATTCTAGGAAGGAAGAATACAGGTGTAAATAGTCTAGTCTACCCAGGAAGGAAGAATTTGGGTGTAAATGCTCAAGATAACCCAGGAAGAAACAATGCAGGTGTAAATACTGTAGTCTAGTCTACCCAGGAAGGAAGAGAGAAAGCCAATGTAAATAGTCTAGTCTACTCAGAATGAGTGCAGGTGTAAATACTCTAGTCTACTAAGGAATAAAAACTGAAGATGTAGATTAACCAGTCAACCCAACTACTAGAGCGAGGGGAATATAAACTCATCTTGTTTACATTTCTCCTGCCAGCTGATATGTACAACCAAAGGTAAACTATTAATGTAAGTTTCAATAAATCATGTACACCCAATAAGCCTGTTTGTGTAACCCACATTAAACATCAGTGCCTCAAATAGCCACATAATTAAGAATTATGATCACATTTTATGTGCTACAGAATTCCATCAACCAAAATAAAGAAAACTAGGATAGCTTTTTTTTTACAATATTTCTGTAGTGCTTTGTAGATATCCCCGAGCTTTCAGAACACCCTAACAGCCATTTTACAAGAACAAAACCTTTGATACATTATATACAACTACTGTGCATATTTGCATTGTGATTTAAATTATTTCCGTAAGTCACATTTGATAAGTTACCCATGATTGACAGGTACAGTACTGTGATACAATCATTGCCTCATGACATTGCACAGCAGTGGTTAAAGTCAGCTAGAATGCAACACTATAATGTTGCAAAATATACAAATGTAGGTATTCAGTTAGTACACTGTCACGTGTTGCAAAAACATTGACTGCTGAAAAACCCAGCATTGAATGTAATGAAACCATTTTCTGGGCGAGCCCCAGAGGCACTCTGGAGCTATCGGCTTATATGCGAATCATTAGACCGGGACAATAGTCTATGGAGTTCAGCCTACTGGGGACTACGAGCCATAACCTGGCCCCCTCAGAGAGGTGCAGAGAGTAATGGCCCTGGAAATCCCTCCTATAGTTGGGGGTTTTCCTTATCTGCCATCAACCGAGGTTAGGCACCCAGAAAGGTAGACATAACAAAACAGACCTCACATGATAAGAAAATTGCAACCAAAAACCGAACAGAGAGGTAGAACTCCTCCAATCCCATGGAAACAAGCAAATGTCACATTACACTGACACGTTGCTCATCTGCGCAGCCCCTCCCCAACTTGTGCCAGTGACCCAACCACACCACGGAGGCAAAACTGCTGACCAGAGGGAGGGTTGAGCCTTGGAAAAAGAGAAAAAGAAAAAAAAAACAGAAAAAGCCAACAGAAACAGAGCTTAGGAAAAACAATCTTCAACTGAAGGGGCCACCACAAACCGAGGAGAACATAGGAGGGCATCCTGTCTAAGAACCAGGACGGCTCAGGCGGCACATGAGCAGGCCAGAGGTGACACAACCCATACTCCATAGACTCCATAGACTAATGTCCCGGTCTAATGTATCACACATTAGCCCAATAACTCCATGGAGCTAGCTGAAAGGGTTTCCCACAGAAAATTTCTTTTATTATTACAGTAGAGTAATATATAGCTAGATTCTAAATATTTCCCAGGTTCCTAGTCTAACATATATTAAAAATTGCATCTCTAAGTATCTAACTCTTTTAAGATTTAGATGATTTTGGTCATGAGCTATTTCTAATATATTGACAACTTACACTTTAATGATTGGTAGAGCAGAACTTCTCCAGTTCTGGAAATCATAGATACACTCCAGAACATTTATATTAAAACAATGTTCAATTTAGCTACATTATGTTCAGAAGTTTATTCAAATTTAAAGTACATACCAGAACCTACTAAATTATATGGGTGATGGTATGGGGGAATTTTTTTTTTTTTTGACTTTAATCACTGCTGAATAGCACATATACAGCATAACTGGAATCTTCAATAACTGTTGTGAGATACAGTACTCCACTTATATCAGAATGACACTGCCCGGTCAACAGTACGACATGAGGGAAAGTGTTAGAATTGTCTCTACAAATGAGTTGAATAAACATTTGTCTAACTGACTCAGCTGGTAACCACAGGAGAAGCTCTATACGATGATGTCCACAGTATTAGTGATGGGGGGCTCAGCACGACTGGTTGAGTATTGTCTCGGGGGTCACAATACTCGGGTAAACTATGTTTTATTTTATTTATACAGTATGATGCAAGATGTGCAAACATTACTTTATAATTATTCTTATGAGTTACTGAGGATAATTTATAAAAAAGGCAAAAAGTGCATATCAACACTTGTCTTAATAAAAAGAGAGCAAAGGAATGTATGGAACTCCAGTTAGCTGATCCCTCTACAATAAGTAATAAAAAGAAGGTTATCATGGCTCTGTTATGGTGGCAATACTGTAATACAGTGTATATATATATATAAATATATATAAATATACTCAACCAGAAGATGTACCATTGGATCCTGAAAAAAAGATTGAGATGCTCTGTCAGCTAATTTGTTCTACCATATAACTGTGCTAATGACAAACCTTACTAATACCATCTTCAAAACCATCTTTCCTTCACGTAAAACTGTTTACGTGTGACCAATTTCAACAGTTACTTATACTCTTGCTGCCGGCTTTATCATGATCAATTTGACAGGTTTTTATTCCTTTTGTTTAAAAAAGAAAAAAAATTGACAGATATGCTGTATCTCCAGTACACGTACCGGGTCAGCATTTACCTAGTTGTGCTTGCAGGGGTTGAGCTTTGGCTCTTTGGTCCTGACTCTCAACCATCAATCAAATGGTGTACAGGTTTCTGAACCTATTGGGCTCTATCATATCTACATTTCAAACTGTTTATGGTGTCTGCCTCTACCACATCATTTCCTAGTGCATTCCATTTGTTCACTACTCGACAGTGAACAAAAAATTTCTAATGTCTCTCTGGCTCATTTAGGTACTAAGTTTCCACCTGTGTCATTTATTTATGTACCACTCATGCTAAATAATTTTTCTTTATCCTGTCAATTCTTGAGAATTTTGTAGGTGGTAATCATTTCTTTCCTAACTCTTCTATCTTCAAGTGATGTGAGGTTTAATACCTGTAGTCTTTACTCATAACTCATACCTCTCAAACTCTGGGACTAGTCTGGTGGCATACCTCTGAACCTTCTTTAACTTTATCTTGTGCTAGACTAGATATGGATTCCACAATGGAGCCACATACTCAAGGATTAGCTTGACATGTGGTATACAAGGTTCTAAATGACTTTTTACACAAGTTTCTAAAGGAAGTTCTTATGTTGCTCAACCTAGCCATTTGCCACCAATATGGGCTATAGGGACACCCAAGAAATGCTCCAGCACATACATGGAAAAATGTGTTCCACCACATACAGTATACTACATATAAAAACTTGCTTCAACATACACAGAGCATGGATAAACATGCTCCAACATAGACAGAACATAGGTAAACATGTCCCAACACATACACAACATTGATTAATGTATTCCAGCACAATTATCTTGGAGTGGGGTACAGTTTATATAAACAGATAGTAAACAATAATAATAATAATATTCATGTTTCTTAGGTAAACATCTTGCACTGCTGCTTTGAGAAAATTACTGTACATGTAGCTGAACGACGTAGCTTCATACATGTTTTCCAATGCAAAACACATTTTTAATACACAAGTACAATATTTCACGTGAATTTACTCTTTACAATTTTTTATTTAACCATTAGCATATAAAGAGTGCTATTGCTTACCTTGGCAAGTGTGGAGACCATAAGCCTGGAGCGAACAGCGATGTAGAGGATGCCGTCCTCCACAACTGGTCCAGCCACGCAGTGGATCCTCGCACATTTGGTTGGACCACAATTAGTTGTCTGGGTGGAGACATGTATAGGTACAATATAGAATTTATTTTAATTCTTACATGGCTCTTAATCACTATCAGGAAACCTGTGTTCGAAATGCCAAATGCAATTTTGTTTCTTTCGTGCTATGAACTTTGTTGTCATGTGCACCACAATGTAGGATATTTAATTAGTTGTGCCATTTAAGGGTTAAAACTATTGTACATTTCTACCTAATTCAGTCATATTTAAACATTAAAAAGGATTTTTTTTTGTCTTGTGTACAAATATTAATTATAACCATTCTTTGAAGGACTGTTAACAGCTGACTTCTCTATGTTGATATGTAAAAATTAAGTCTTTATTATGTTAGTACTGCACTTCAAAATATTTTTCAAGGATTTTCTTAAAGCATAAATTCTATTTTCATTTGGAATACTATACTTTAGTAACTCTCCAAACTTGTAAGGAATATAACTCTTTAATGTTAAATAAAACATAAATTTACTGTACAAGAAAAGTACTGTACAGGCATACCTCAGAATAAGAGTTTAATCCGTTCCTGGAGACGCCTCGCCTTCCGAAAACTCGCATTCCGAAGTTAATTTCCCCATAAGAAATAAAGGGAAATGAATTAATCCGTTCCTGACTACCCCAAAAACCCCACATCAAACTAAATTTTTATACCTAATTTATCTAAATAAACCTACAAAACTGTGTTCCAGTTATTACTTACCTTGCTGTCGAGTGCTGTAGGCGTATGAAAGATGGTGAGGAGGGGGGAGGAGGAGAGGAGTTACTGTTTGGAAGGGGAGTCCCCTTCCATAATCACATCACATAACCCCATGCCTTGTAACACTATGGATACCACTTCTCTTTCTAAATTTTTCAAACCAGCCCCTGCTTGCCTTAAACTCTTTCTTATCTGCATCACTCGTTGCAGGGGTATTCTTTAGAAGGTCTTCGTGCAACACCCTGGCTTTCTCACAAATAATGGCCTCCGAAACACTATCACCCCTCAACTCCTTGTCGTGTATCCAAATTAATAACAACTTTTCCACTTCTTCAAGTATTTGTGGTCTTTGTGCCGTTAATGTTCTTACTCCTTTTGCCACTTTAGCACCCATAATCTTATTTTTCTTCTTAAGTATAGTGCATATTGTTGATGTGGCTTTGTTGTACTGCCTACAAAGTTCAACAACACGTGTACCGTTCTCATGCTTCCGAATGATCTCTTGTTTCTCCTCTATTGTCATCCTCACATGAGCTTTCTGGCCTTTATCCTTACCACTGGCTTTCTTGGGACCCATGGTGAGATATATAATAACAAATTGTATAGACAAATCACCAAAAATCCAACAAAACACTGAAAATCCGCGAGAAGAATTGATGTGGGGGTAGTCACTGAGCGCCAGACAATAATAAACTGAGGGGCGGAGGGGCGACGAACGCGCTAGGTCGGCTGTACGCGTATCAACAAACTCGCGTCCAAACTCGCCTCCCGAAGTAACCCTCGCCTTCTGAGACAAATTTTTGGAGTAAATACACCTCGCCTTCCGAAAACCTCGCATACAGGGACAATCGCATTCCGAGGTACCACTGTACAGATACTTACTAAAAATTATTTTTATGTTGACCCATAATAATATTTTAAATAATACAAATAATTATACTGTAATAATGTAAATAATAATAAGTTGAATAAGAAGAAACAGAATAAGAATTAGAAGAAAAGAAAAAGGAAACAGACAAAGCGCCACCAATGATGCAGGATCACGAAGCTTACCTCAGATTCCCAGGTTGACTTTTCTTTTGTTTGTCTTTTTTCTCTCTTTGTGAGGCTATTATCTCCTGAAGAGGAGCTAAAGCTTTTACCGCTGGATGAAGAGGAGGAAGAGTAGGTGTATGACGTCGATGATGACGATGAAGACGATGAAGACGAGGAATGTGACGAGTTGCCAGCATTGGAGTAATAGGTAGCTTCTGTAGAGCCCTCATAGTAAGACGAACCCCCGGAAGCTGCTCTGTCGCCGTCAGAGGACGAGCTTCCTGTGTAGCTCTCCTCAGTCACCACACCTCGTGACTTCTCCTTGCTCTCAAGCTTTAGTAATTCCATGTTCATGTCTTTCTTGTTCAGCTGGGGACATTAGCGTGTGAATATTGTTAAACTAAATATGAATTAAACAAGCATTTTGTGATTTACTATATCGTATTGTATAGCAAGATTAGATTTTTAAACAGAAACTATCTAACATACACTTTTAAACCAAGAATTTTCTAGTGGACGCTTAAATTTTCATGATATACATTTGTATTAATTCACATAAGTACATGAATAAACACACATCACATAAGTACATGAACAAACACAAGCATAAACATGCCCATCTATACATAATCACATACACTGTAAGAATTACAGTAATTAAGACAAACTTTACATATGGACAAAACAGTACATCAAGTTAAACTCAAAGATCTAGGGTATAGCAAGACCAGACATTTAAAATCTGAAAGGTGGGAACCAGGACTTTGATTCCAACATGTATAGATTGAAAAGAATGGACAGATAGACACACAAAGAATAACCTCTGTAAGGATGAGATACTATGTGCATAATTGCTACATAGTCTCCCCGGCTTGGTGCTTTCTTTTAATAATTACTTACTTATGGGCATAACTGCATTCTTGTAATTACAAATAGGTTGCATGCAGGGATGCACAAATGAACATTTGAAGAACAAAAGGAAAACAGAGAGGCTCAGGGATTTGCTAAAAGACTAGTACTAATGATAAAAAGTCATGTTATGAGGACATATTCAGTTAAAAGGCTTCAACCTAACACATAAACCATGCCTTACTAAGAAAAAATTTCCAGATTGCTCATTTCTAGAGCTTAACTTAACACCTATAATCATAATCGTAATCATAATCTTCATTCACAAGAATGTGTGTGTACAAGGAACATAAGAGTAATATACAATTGTAAGGACAAGAGATAAACATACTGATGAGGCCACTATTATGCAAAGCATTTTGGGCAAAAATCACCTTGATCACAATAGAATGGCTCTTCAGTCTCTTGTACTGACAACTGAGAGATTTTCAGTACATACATACCCTGAGGTTGAGAGGGTTGACATCAGGAACAAAAGAGCAGTTGATGGGACCAGTGACTCGGGGTTGCTCCAGGAGGTACAATAGATAGTTACCTAGAAACAACAACGCAAAAATCAAGATTTAGTGAGAGTCAGTGACTACAAACTTTAGTGTCAGACAATGTTTGCCTATTTAAGAAATTTTCTGTTGACAGGGCTACTCGACAGAAAAGCTCTATATTCCTGAGGCTACCACTCCCTGGTAGCACCAAACGCTCAGGCTAATGGGGTTACATTGCTGGAGAAGCTACATCAAAGGATAAACTGTATAGCCTGTTGGTAAAGCTACCTGCTTGAAAGGCTACTGTTGAGTTCGCTGCCTATTGTTAAGCGTACCTACTGGTGAGTCTGTTTGTTGATAAGTTTATTTGTTGATAAGCTTACCTATTGAAGATTACCTGATAATATAAGATAAGATGTTTATTTAGGTAAAGGTACATACATACACTGAAAATGAGTTACAAACATAATGTTGGATTTATAGATAGAGCTAGTACATACAATGCCTGAAGCCATTAATATGCACAGCTTTTTGGGAAAGTTGATGGAAAGAAAAATTTAGACTAAAACTTAATACTAATTAAGATCAAAAGCAGAAATTTAACTGAAAGGGAAAAAAATAAAGTGAATGATAGTAATTACATGATGGATGGAACAGCAGAAAATGCAACAGAACAGCAGAAGGAATTTTAGCTAAATAAACACGCATTACAATTTTCTTTAAGTTTATACGTGTCAGATATCAGAAGTTAAACAAGTTGCTCAAGAATCAATAGTGTTTGAAAATAGCAAGACATAGGTTGACATAGGTTGATTGTCATATTGCTATCTTCAAAATGAAGCTAACTTATAGTGGTTATCTTTTAATAAGGTTATTTATTTGAAAGTGAAGCTATCTGTTGGTGAGGCTACATGTTGGTGAGGCTACATGTTGGTGAGGCTACATGTTGGTGAGGCTACATGCTGGTGAGGCTACATGCTGGTGAGGCTACATGCTGGTGAGGCTACATGCTGGTGGGGCTACATGTTGGTGAGGCTACATGTTGGTGAGGCTACATGCTGGTGAGGCTACATGCTGGTGAGGCTACGTGCTGGTGAGGCTACGTGTTGGTGAGGCGACATGCTGGTGAGGCTACGTGTTGGTGAGGCTACATGCTGGTGAGGCTACGTGTTGGTGAGGCTACATGCTGGTGAGGCTACGTGTTGGTAAGGCTACATACTGGTGAGGCTACGTGTTGGTGAGGCTACATGTTAGTGAGGCTACATGTTGGTGAGGCTACATGCTGGTGAGGCTACGTGCTGGTGAGGCAACGTGTTGGTGAGGCTACATGCTGGTGAGGCTACGTGTTGGTGAGGCTACGTGTTGGTGAGGCTACATGTTGGTGAGGCTACATGTTGGTGAGGCTACATGTTGGTGAGGCTACATGTTGGTGACACTACAAAACCTGGAATTTAATTTACATACGAAACCAAAAATCAGTATAGACCACATCTAAATCCAACGTAAATAATTTTCAGAAAAAATTAAACTATTTGTGCAATTATGTGAAGTCATGTGTCCCCATTCATTTAACTCGCATACAGGGGGTTCTGTTTAAAAATTAAATTGTATTAAACTAGTATCCTTAATTGATAATAAAAAAATCCAAAGTTAAGAATCATTAACTGTACACGACATATTTTGAAGATAAAACTTTAATACTAAATATGTAATGATATTATGTAATGAAATCATTGTTTTGTGTTGTTGACTTGTCAACTGACTTCCTTCATGGGATGATAAACATTGAATACCTCAGGGTATGTTTAGGTCACTTATAATTCCCTAGTCAGGGTCCCCTGTGACCTTACACAGGATGTAAACTACAACATTTGTCTAACTACCATGTTCTATTTACTGGTAAGTGAAGAGGTGCATCAGGTGAAATTAAACATACCCAATCATTTCTTTTCCCACTGAGGATCAAACCCAGGATCCTTAGTTGTGTGTCAAGGGCATAGACCACTGTACTATAGGACCTAGAGTGAGGAGGACAGTTTTAAGAACTTCACATCTGTTACTGTGGATTGTCTGGGTTCATGCAGCACCTTTTGTAACTAAACGACTTTTGGCTTACCGGTGAGGGTCATGGTGGGCCACAAGATGACAATTTCGGCTTTCAGGATCTCAGAAGGGCCATTATTGGAAATTCCGTATGTGTGCATAATTTCTGGGCCTAGATGTTCTTCGTGGGTGTATCCTTCAGAGCGGTACAAGGTTTGGTTATACTCAATGTTCTCCGGTGACGATGACCTGCAAGCAAAGATACGAAAACATCAAGTGTAAATTAATGGTAATGAGGACTATGGCAATTATATATTTATGTATACATATACTGTACTGAATATTTCATGTACATATTTTTACTTTTATTTTAATGTTTATGTATTTCTTAAGTATAGAAATACTTAAGCATTGCAGGATTTCCCCATGCCAGACAAAGTCTGTCTCACAACCCACCTTTTTCCTTGTCACCCTATAAAAGAATCATCTTTCCACTCATCCCTGACACAACCCAATCCAACTTGTCTCAACTCATCCACACTACAGCCACCCCACATAAAATTCAAACTACAATATCTCAACACACTTGTAACAATCCCCCCCCCCACACACACACACACCATCCACCATCCTAGTCTCAAGACCATGATGTTCAACAACATTTTCATCACATCTACATGCTGGAACTAAGAAGCATTATAACTCCCATCACCCATCTCACAACCATCCCATGACAAACTAGGCTGTCTCACAACACAGGGGGGTCACATTACCCATACCTATCACAGCCACTGCAAGTTATGGGCAGGCCATATACAACTTATGCACTAACCTCAACTTCAATGACTTACCCATAAAGAATGAGATTGGTGTCCACATCAACAAGAACAACTTTGCGGGCAATGTTGTCATTGCGAGAACGAGGCACCTCATTGTTGGTGCTGTTGGCTGTCACCAGGAACTCGAAGCGGGGATCTTCCAGTGATCCAGACTTCTGCTGAAATAGCACTATAAAGTGCACCTGTGGGTGGAATGAACAAAATATAGGCACACATCTGTAATAATAATAATAGTAATACACAAAGAAATCACAAAAACTTGATATATCAATGAGTTCTCATTTTCTGGGACATATCAGGTGTTTCATGCTGTATAGCTGCTTTCTTGCCCAGCAGCTGAACCTGATATTCACTGGCATCATGTTGAGAGCTCTGTGGATCTGGTCTGTCCTTACCTTGTCCTCCAGCGACAGGCTCGCCACAAACCGGAGTGCTTTGGTTTGGACCTGTTGGATCTTCAGTGTGTTGATTTTGTTGGCGAGGATCAAGGGGGGGGGAATGTAAGGATACTCGAGGCTAGGCCTTATGATCATCCTGTACAGGTGGAGCTGTCGTGGGATGGGGCTTGTCTAAAATGGAGGACCCATTGTCTATCGCTGTCTTCTCGGAGATGTACTGGGTGGAATTGGGTAGTCTGTTGAAGTTGTATCCGAGCACTGTGTTGGAATTTGAGATGGCTATGGGTTCATCATTGATCCGTATCCTAACCTTATTTTCAATTGTGTAGGCCATACAGCCGACCGTGCTTATCTGGATTAGTGGTAATCCTCAATTTCCTTTCCCAGTTCGCAATCCGGGTGAGTTCTACATTCACCTTTCATGTGATTGTTGCATGTTTGGCTGCTTGGATACTTGGGTTAGATGTTATTACATGGGTTACGTCGTACCACTTTATAAAGCCATTAATAACACACAGCCTTTCTGGCATACCTTAAGATTAATGGAAGTGTTTTAATTAAGTACACTTTTTATTCATTTATTTCCTGTTTATTTCCCAGATTTTCTATCAATCAATTCACTTTCTACTGGTCTTTTGGACCATTTTAACCTTTCCTTTGTGGTTTAGTTTTAACATCATAAAATTTTGTAACAAAAACACACACACACTTATTAAAACAAAATACTCTCTGAACTCACTCCCTTATGCATTTGTAGTGGATTCCCGATGTCACAAATAAGGGTGGTGTTGGCGCCCATGGTACGGGGTGAACAGGTGACAGAGGTGTTATCCTTGGCAGTAAAGGTATTGTACAGGAGGCCAGTTGGAATGGGGATGTACACCCGGGCCTCAAAGGCATCTTCAGCATGATTAACCACTCGCACATCTACCTCCAACTGCTCTTTCTTCCGGAAGATGAAGGTGTCTGGCCTAAGAAAGAGGAATACATGGTAATCAGTAGCAAACAATTGCACAAACAATACAGGTAGGACTCAGTTGGTACTAATGCTAGCCACTCATACACAGAACATTTGAAGAGGGTTACAACTTAACCCAGCCATGCAGGGAGACAGCTAAAGTATATAAAACTTAAGTCACACAGTGAGATAGTTAGCTACCTGTAGTATATTTTATCTGAGGGCTACTGACACTAGTGGCCTCGACGAGGACAGGAAGCTGGAGGCTTGTGGAAGGTCACTCCCCCCTTTATATCCAAATGTAGTCACTTATGGAGAAAGCTTGATCCTAACCACATCATATGCAAGGATGAACCCTAACCTAATCATGCTGGGAAACAGCTATACCTTAATTCAGTCATCTAATGAAATGGCAATGTCCTAACCCAGTCACACAGGGAAAATTAAAAAATTCTTGCTTAGCCTATTTATATCCCCACTTCCCTTCCCTACATAATTTTGGATTCACTATCTGCAGAAAATCAAAAGAAACAGGCAACATAATAACCACAATAAATTGTACCAAACAGAAGATAAACTCTTGAAACACTAGATGTAGGAGAAACTCACGCAGTGAAGGTGAGGACGAGGTCAGGGATGCAAATATTGTCGTCACCACAGTTCTTCTGGATGGTGATTGAGTCTGAAAGGGCTAGTCGCTGACGCTGGTTGAGTATGGGTGTGAGGGAGCGAGGGGCCCGGTACTTGGGTTCCACGAGGCTGTATTTAACCTCAGCTCCGATGGGAGTCAGTTTGTCTGTGAGGGTCGGCTGTTTCGATGGAAAGGAAGAGATACTTACTGTATACAATAAAGTTTCTGTTTTGTGTATTTTACCTAACTGTTCTTACCTTACCAAGCTTAACAGATGCTTACCTTTGTCTTAGGTGTAAGGTTCAGCATTTGAACACATTGTCTTAGATCTTAGGTAATGTATAGATTCATGAGTGCATGTATTTTTAAGTATTATATGCAAACATGTAAAAATGAATGTGTAAAAATGTCTCGTTCATGTCTCGCATAAACATACGAATATTTATGTACAATACATGCATATCAACACAAAGCTTTATGACTGGTAATTCAAGGAAAAAATGCAATATAAAAACTATCAACTGATTGTATTGTACATAAGTGTATGGGCTGCTTTGAAATGAAACTCGCATCAAGATATTACAGTATAATACACAGTATAAAAGCATCAATTTAACCAGTAAATATAAAAAAAACACAAATTTTTATTACACTATAATACATTATATGAAAAGACTGATACATGCATATTTGGGGATGTCCACATTTATGATGAGCATGCCTTGAGGTATGGGCTGGACTGTGATATAAAAATATAGCACTGCCACTTCCAAACTCCTTGATGAGAGTCAACATATCACAACTTACTGCAACATAGACTTGATGCTGTCTGCAGATTGGGATTTGTGTCTCAAGTTGAAGCCTCTCTTTCATGTTCGTCTGATCATTGTTGAGGAAGAAGATGCGAGGTGTAGTTACTTTTCCATCTAGTGTGTACTCCACATCCAATTCTGTAGGATACATATTGAATATTGTGTAAAAATTACCCAACCTGTTCTACTTTCTAATGTACGATTATTCTGACAATGTGTGTGCTTGCCTGATCAGGCATCTCACCTACACGCCCACTATCCTCCAACCTCTCCAAAACCAAAAGACAGCAGGTTTTATTCAATTCAGTACATGGCTTTTCCTTAGCAAACTAAATTCTTCTAGATTACAGTTAATAGAAAGGTAAGTGAGCAACTGGAAAGCTCATCCCTTTAGAATTGGTAAAAGAAGAATTTCAACTACACATCTTCTCTTCTTATCTAAAAATGTCACCATTGTCATGTATTACATAAGGGTATAATCCCATAGAACTGCCTTCCCGCTGAAGCCGTAAATGTGAAAACTCTGCCGGGTTTTAAAATACAGCTAGAAAAGATCATCGAGGCAAATGGAGGGACCTATGACAAGCCGCCGTCTTCCTATCCTCGTCAAAGTCACTACTATAAAGTGACCCACAGGTAAATTCAGGTAAATATTATAACAAGACTCATGTTTGTTTCTTCACCTATAGGAAATCTCTTAAAAGAATAAGATGAAGATTCAATCATTAAATATAACCGAGGATTAAAGATTTACTGATGTATCGTTATCAGTCAAAATACTGGTATTGGTACACCTCTACTGAGGACTTACTTGGGGTGAGAAATGGAGGATTATAATTTTTGTTTAAAGAGATTTGACACTTTAGCATTTGAATAGAACATGCAAATTAAAAAAAAATTCTTTACTTAATTGTGAATTTCGAGCATTTAACATTAAATTAATACAGAACAGAAACTTATGTTTAGAAGCCATTTTTTTCTTAAATTTCAGTTAAAAATTTACTAGAATTTTAGATGCAATACATAACTACAATGGGAATAATTATTTGCCATTAGCTGTAGCCATGAGCTTCATAATTCCCAGTACTCTGACTGTAGCCATGAGCTTCAATGTTCCCAGTACTCTGACTGTAGCCATGAGCTTCAATGTTCCCAGTACTCTGACTGTAGCCATGAGCTTCAATGTTCCAAGTACTCTGACTGTAGCCATGAGCTTCATAGTTCCAAGTACTCTGACTGTAGCCATGAGCTTCATAGTTCCAAGTACTCTGACTGTAGCCATGAGCTTCATAGTTCCAAGTACTCTGACTGTAGCCATGAGCTTCATAGTTCCAAGTACTCTGACTGTAGCCATGAGCTTCAATGTTCCAAGTACTCTGACTGTAGCCATGAGCTTCATAGTTCCCAGTACTCTGACTGTAGCCATGAGCTTCAATGTTCCAAGTACTCTGACTGTAGCCATGAGCTTCAATGTTCCAAGTACTCTGACTGTAGCCATGAGCTTCATAGTTCCCAGTACTCTGACTGTAGCCATGAGCTTCATAGTTCCAAATACTCTGAGTGAAGCAATCAGCTCACAATACTGCACTCTGATTAGCTGTTGTAGCAAACACCATATATAAAGTGATAGAATGCAGACCTCATTCAACTATATCAATGAGATACGTTGAAGAAAGCTACTGCAATGGCCTTAATAACCCAGCAGCAAACGAGACCCAATGTCATACCAATTTCATCGGGAACTCCCAGGCCTTCATAGCCTAGACAAAACTCAAGGGGAACACAGGTGACAGGCCTCCCATTCTGAGTACGACAGCCCGCCTCAAGGCTTGCGGCAGATTCAATGTCGATTGTCTTTCCCTCCGACATGAAGGTGAGACTATGGTTCATCAGATTCACGACTGGGCGGGACCTGTAGAGGAAAGAAAAGGTTTAGTGGCTGACTAAAGTATGGTGGGTTAAGTACTTGGGGGGGGGGTCTGTGATGCATATCCCGCCAAACACACACCGAAACTACGACGTTGGTACAACGTTCGAACACGTTTTAACACTTCCTAACCAGTTATAACAACCAATATAGCAGGTTGTAACAACGTTCTAATACGTCATAAACACATTAAGCCAAGATGTAACAACTTTATTACAAATTGTAACAAGCGGAAAATAGAGACAGTTTCGGTTTGTGTTTCCAGGGATATATATGGGTTTTGGTATAAACAAATATGTACAGTATATAGTGTTTAGCAATAACTTGCGTAAATATATAATTTTGGACATTGGCAAAAATATACATGACATTATAATTAATAAGTTAATTAAGTACACTTCTGTATTATTCAAAAATATACATAAGATAAAACATAAATATTGAAACATTAATCGATTAAGGCTTGCCCCAAAAAAAATATACAATAATAACAAAATCTACATTTCGTTGGCACAATATCCTTAATAAAATCACATTCTGGTCTGAATGACCAGAAAACCCATAACTATCTCATTTATAAGAGCACCCAGATACAAAATATTAAATACATTGAATTACATTTTATTTCAATATGTCTTTCTAGTGCTAATTTCAATATCACTAATATGAGTGTTATTAAAATTATAGTACACTATTATAGTACTCTATTATACTGCACTCTTATATTATACTATTATATTATACTATTATACTGCACTCTATTATAGTACACTACAATATCATATTTCATTCAAGTATACTGTCAAACACGTGGTCATACTTGAGGAGGACAGCAGAGTCGGAGAGGTAGGCGCCCACCAGGAGGTCTGGGTACTGGTTCTCGTCCATGTCCAACCCTCCTGAGAGAGACCATCCAAAAGTCGAAATACTGGGCCCACGGGACACCTCCTTGGCATATATCACCTACACACACACACCCGAGAGAATATTATTCATTAATATACTTTTATTGGTTGCTACTTGTTTACTGAAACAAAATCGTCTAGTACAGTATTTATTAAATTCACAATGACTAACCTAAAAAATTATATTTGCAAAAGATGAACGCAAAATAAAAGTTTTTAAATTTAAGGTAATATACTGTAGGTTACCTGAGAGGGCTTCTTATTATCTTCGGAGATGGGTTCACCACTACGGATAACAAAGCCATGGTAGATGAACACTGCCCCATTACCATCTGGTCCACCATAAGGAGCACCAACAGCCAAGTCTATCAAAGAAAACGAACACCGATGTGCAGCTTAAGAAAATGGATGTATAAGTTCACCAGCCATAAGCTTTAACTATTAAAATATCTCCCATGCATCTAAAACCCTGCAGAACACAAACTTTTTTCAATTAATTTATAATTTGTTCAGTGTGTCCACATGGATATATATCATGAAAGAGAACATGACAGACAGTACCATGTAATAAAAATTAATACAAAATATGAACCGAAAAATTAAACAATTGAATTATAACAAAAAAGAGAGATGGACGTTACCAGCAATGCCGTCCTTGTTGATGTCTCCGAGACCTGTGAGAGAGAGACCGAAGCGACCTCGGTTGACCTCGCCCGTGAAGATGACCTCCTGTCTGAAGCGA